AAAACAATTTGTGAATTAGGAATAATTTAAATAAAGTAAATAAACTGTAAAATTGTTCTTGAAATGCAGTGTTCTCACAAGGGAAGCTGCGTTACCAACGGATGTAGATGCAACAGAGTTCAGTGTTCAACCAAGTGTCTTCCAACCACAGCTGGAGTATGTCATAATAAAATATAGGACGCTTACTTATTGATGTCTATGAGCTGCTACTGGTATAACATGCAAGTGAACTGTTCTCTGATATCTGGTTTGATGCAACATTTTCACTTTAGAATGTTTCAGTATTGAAGTGATATTAAATGTTCAATTATACAGTTTTTCCATGTACTTTGAAAAGTAATGCAATCGTGTTTGTGCTGACTTTTTACTACGATACCTAAATAAAATATAATAACTTTTAGAATGTGTATTTATTCTAATTCCTGTGTAGATTAACATGCACTGAAATAAAATCTATACGTGTGTTTTCTTACATATTCACAATAATCCCTGTGTTGTTTTTTTTTAATGTTAACCAGGTTTGCAATACCAACCGCAATCTATCTACCAGTCTTCAGAGTCGTGGTCTCTACCAGTGGTGATGTAAATGGTGATGTTTCCCAGCTGCACTTGAACGCAGCTTCCCAGCTGATGGTGGTTTGACATCATGAGCAGGCAGGAGGCGTTTTGGGGGCGTGGTTTGCTCAGATCACGTGGTTTAGGTGCGGCCAGGTTGATTCAGGGTTAGAGAAGCAGATTGCTCGATTCTGTGGCCACTTGCTGGAGGAAGCGCTGCAGCGGGAGTCAACATGTCTTTCAATCTGAGCTCAGGTAAACTCATATTTACGTCTTTCCAGGATGTACCTGAGAAACCAAACGTCACAGCAAGGTGGATTTAATATCACTTTTATCTGAACCTTATTCTGAAGCCTTCTTAAATCTGCCTCATTTGAAGCTTTGGGAGAAGAGACAGTGAAGAAGGAGGACGCCCAGAAAGATGAGTTCTCATGGCCATGGAACAAGGACAAGGACAAGGAAAAGGAAAAGGACAAGGTAGGAGATTTGAATGTTCACATTCCAACAGAGATGCTTATGCAGGGCAGCAGAGAGTTTCCAGGTCCTGACATGACCAGTGAGGTCTGTCCTGGTTGAGAGTTGTTGATTCTAAACTTGTCAATGCAAGTTCCAGAAAACTGATCTGAAGATGATTCTGTTGTAAATCTGCTCCATCAGGTCCATTTAGCTTTCTGCTCGTTGGCCCTGTGGCCAGCTCACTGCTGATGCTGCATTTGATTCATAACTGGGCTGGATGCTATGTTCAGTGTTAAAGTTCTGCTTTTTCTAGGGCCACAGCAAGGACAAGTCTGACAGCAAGGGCAAGTCTGACAGCAAGGGCAAGTCTGACAAGAAGCACAAGAGTTCAGATGGCAAGGAAAAGAAGAAAAAAGAACATACGGGTGAAAAGAAATCCGGCAACTCGTCGTCCTCCTCTTCTTCGTCTTCATCCTCCTCCAGCAGTGATGAGGTAGGCCTGTTCTGCCGTTGAGTTTTCAGAGCCTCTTGCCCATCGAACTTCTGATGCCTCAATGATGTTAGTTTGCTCTGGTTGGAGTTCTGGCACAGTGATCCCTATGGACCCGCTTTCACTCGCCCTTTTCTGAAAGTGTCCACAGGCACAGTTCAGTAGTTTGTAGAAGACGGGTAACATACCTGTCACACCTTGGTGCTACTGGTGTTTATGGAACGTCCACAGCTGGTCTTTCCAGCAGTGCCAGTCTGAGTCAGTTCACCACACCCCCATGTGCGTGATCATTGTGTTCACAGCTCAAACTGCTGTCTAGTGTTTATCTGCAGGTTCATTTCTGATGGTTGTCCTGCAGCACAGTGAAGGTGTTATCAGCTCTGAATTCCTTCTCTTTGTCTGTCATATTTCTATGAATAGTTTTCCATGCAAATGACGACAGAGCAGCCCAGCCCAGGGCGTGAGAGGAGAGAAACAGGTCAGATAGGAGGCTCATAAAAGAGATGTTGTCCTGTCACCTCAGTGGGAGTGAACATGTTGTTCTCTGTGGCCCGACTCGACTCGGTGACATTCAACCTCCCAAAAAGAATGGCTGTCATTTGGTGCTCATGCTGCTGCCAAAAGGATTCATACATTAAAGATAGCAGCTGTGGCACTTAAGATGTTCGTTAATAAATCATCATCCTGTCTGCAGTAACAGCATTGTCCTTCTTGTCATTTCAGGACTGATGCTTCCTGCAGGACTGGACTGCTCTTGTTCTCTTTATAATCGTGTCCACTTGACAGAGGGAGTGTCTGGTTGTGCTGCACCAACTCTTCCTCTTGTACTTTCACTGCTGTCATAGAAACATGACAATCTGGTGTAAACAAATGTGATCATTGAAAAGTAAATGTTCTGACGACAACCCAAATGCCTTCAAGAGTTTTTTTTTTTTTCAGTAGGTTCCTTCTATCATTTTTCACCACAAGATGGCAGTGCTGTCCATTGTTCAGGTCAATCAAGGTTTCAATTTAAAGTATAAGAAAATATAAAAACACAGGCGCTGTTGTTTTGTCATTGTGAGTAATTAATATTTAAGAGCATTTTAGGTGCACAGAAAAAGCATCAAGAATCAATCTTGTTAAAAAGACAATCAAAATGTTTTTTTTTGAAAAAGAATAAATAAATGAATCACTTTATTAACTAGAGAGTTTTTTATGGATATAACTCAAAAAGTTTGAGATGTTGAGGAATTAAAAACCGTATAAATGGAAACTCTTAGTCTTCAGCCGAGGCCTGATGGCTGCAGAGTCGACTATCAGCAGAGATGGACGGAGCAGTCAGAATATTTACTGAAGGAGTAGTGCACAAATTCCACTTGTTCTAGTTAAAGACCTTTAACACGACGAGTGCTTTAAGTCTGGTTTTCTTCACTGTGATGCGGCTCTACGGTTTGGAGCTACAGATCCTATAATGTGGGGGGTTTGAGGGATGTGAGATGTGGCCACGGGACCAGCTTTGTAGCTGGTTTCCACAGAACAGAAAGCCCGGTCCACGCTCCATCAGAACAGATGCAGCTGTGTAGCCAATTGTCAGCTGCATAAAGGGGACAAAAGTGGATGCCAGTTGCCAAATATACCCTTTATTTGTTCACGTTTTGGCAGATTGGCTCCATTAAAAGAAAAGAGCACTTCCTGTTAGCAATTTACTCGCCAGTTTATTGGTAACGACTGTCAGTGAATTACTTTATTCTGCTGAAAACTGAAAAACATGCAGGTTATACAGAAAGTGGAATCATAGAAGTTTTTTTTTAGTATTGTAATAAGCATTCCTTAGTTAGGGGTAAATGCTTCATGGGGACTGATAAGTGACCCAAAGTGCTTTCTGTTTACGATTTAAGATTTGTAAATTTCCCTGTCTGCAGGGTGGCACAGTTGATTAGCACTGTTGCCTCGCAGCAAGAAGGTTGCCGGTTCGCGTCCCGGTGGGGGGGGGGTAGAGTTTGCATGTTCTCCCCGTGCAGCGTGGGTTCTCTCCGGGTTCTCCGGCTTCCTCCCACACAGTCCAAAACATGTTGAGGTTAATTGGTGATTCTAAATTGTCCGTAGGTGTGAATGTGAGTGTGCTTGGTTGTCTGTCTCTAAGTGTAGCCCTGTGATAGACTGGTGACCTGTCCAGGGTGTCTCCTGCCTTCACCCTAAGTCAGCTGGGATAGACTCCGCCCCCCCGTGACCCTAGTGAGGATTAAGCGGTGTATAGATAATGGATGGATGGATGGACATTTCTCTGTTGAGGGATCAGTGACGTTTAGAGTTTATCTTATAAAGGACTGACATGATGAGCAGAAGTTAAAAAAAGGTCAAAATAGGCGTCTTAAGACACTTTAAAGGTTAAAGTCGAGAGAGAAAAACTCAGATTTGCTTTCAGCAAGCACTTGGCAACAGTAGAGAATAGACAGGAAGGAACCTTGGACAGAACCAGGTTCAGGGTGGGCAGCTATCTGGGTGAGGGGAGGGAGGAGAGAGAAAAGATGATCAGTAGAGAAACAACATCCGGACCTTCTAGGCCCTGCAGCGGTGTGGTAGGTGGGTTCTGTCCTTCCCAGTCCAGAGGGCTCCATGGACCCCTGACGTCTTGGTTCACCTTCCTCCACTTTTTTCTCTGGATCTTGCTGTCAAGTTCTTATCCTTTAATATCATGCTGGTCCAGCCTTGTCAGCATGTCCTCAGACCGCCATCCCTTTGACCAGCCTGGTGGTGAACCTGGTGACCCCTGCAGCTCACGTCCACCAGTCGAGTCCAGCCCTTTAGAGCTGCTGCAGTTACTAGATCAGAGTACTCACAGTTCATCTCTGCTCATTAAATGAATTCTATCTATAAAAGTTTAATAGTTGACATTTTTTCTCCATGAAAATGTTTCCTGCAGGTTTGGATTTGTTACTCATGAAAGCCCCCAAATCTGAATCCATGTGTCTGAGACTGTCAGCGGTACAACAACAGGCTGGACTGCTCAGCCATAGTGTTTATTTCTCTTACAACATGTCTTCCAGCGTATTAAAAACAGCACATGGACCAGAGGGGGTTTGCCCTCATACACTTCACCAGCTCTCGTGGCACCGCTGCTTCTATGATGACCCGTCTCTGACCAGGTTTCTGGTCTAGGTCTGCCTTCATCCTCCGGTCCTGGGCTGCATCCAGGATTGTTGATTCTGTTCCTGCAGGTGCACTCTTCGGTCGCGCTCCTGCTGGTACGAAGGCCAAGGAGTTGATGGAAGGGAGGCATTGTTAGGGCTCCTTTTGCTCAGCTCTAGTTCCAGTAGCCGACACACCTCGTTCAGGTGCGGTGCTCTGGGACTGACTGTATTGTCAGAAAGACTACAAAAATGTAAACGTCATGTTTCTGTGAGCTCAGAGAATTGACAGAAGTCATAGCGTCCATGAGCTGTGTGTCGGTGCTGCTCCGGCTGCTGACCAGGTTTAAAGGAGCCAGGTGACGGTAGCTAACTCCCCCCTTGTTCCTGGAACCTCCCTGTTCAGTCCACCAGACCTCCTGCTGTTGCACGTTACTGGATTGTTTTATGTGTTGTAGTGTATAAGCAGCGTTTTATGTTCTAGCTGTGGAGGTGGAGCGAGTGTAAACTACTCTACACACTGTGTGGGTAGTTTTTCTGTAAATTAGAGTCAGAAAAGTGGAGCAAAAAATCAAAATACTCAGATATTTATCAGATGAAACGATTCAACAATAAAAAAAATAAAAATCCAAGGGCAAAGGTGATTCCTTTTCTGCCAACAAGGGCCCAACAGCTCAAAGAATGCATAATGCAGCACAAAAACAAAGGATCACTGTACCTGACATCAATATTCAAGTTGTGGTGAACTCCAGCCAGGACTGTCAGGAGAAGAGCATTACAACATTTAGCATTGAGGATCTCCTTCAGGTCTAATGAATCTTTTATGGAGGTGCAGGAAAAAGAAAAATGGAGCGGTTTCAGAAAGGAATCAATAATGAATCAAGCATGTATCTTTGGGGGCTGCTGAAGAAACACAGTTTAACCCGTTCATTGTGGTGAAAGCGGTGTTTTATTTGAACCTGTGAGGGATGAAATCAGGGAATGATTTACAACAGACTGCTGGCGATGAACTGATTCGGTCACAAAGTTCATGATCGAGCTGAGTCACCCGCCGACAACAATGTTTGTCTCATCAGAAAAACACGATTCTTAAAATGCGTTCTGCATCGTTTGTCACTGTCGAGGATTTTAGTTTCATTTCATTTCTGTTGGTTAACTTAGCACGTGTCATTTGGATTTAACTTTGGTAAATTAATATCCACAGGAGCTTCACTAACTATCAGTACATGATATGAGTTCCTTAAACACTCGGGGAATGATTGACAGAAAACAAAACCTATTTTAATTATTATAAAAATAATAGTTTAAGTCATTTTTTTATTTAGAAATCTGAAATGTCATCTGGTTTCTGCTTTCCAAATACGAACATCTGCAGTGTTTTCTTCATCCAGTGTGATGGTCAGTTTGCGGTCAGCCTCGAGACGTGGATGCTGCCGTCGGTACCATCCACCTGCTGACTTCACGGCAACGGCTTCCTCTGATGGCACCAGCCTCTGTCAGCATGCGGTTTGAGGAGCACGACAAAGAGTTCAAGATGCTGACCTTACAGATGTGGGATGTCCTGGGACAACAAGTCTGAGCCTCTGAGGCAAGAGAAAACTTCCAGAATAGTTTTACGGAGGCAGTGTGTCAGATATATGTTAATATTTAAATTATATAAAAAGCCTTTGATTCAGAATCGCTCTGAGCTCTTAAGTCATTCTGCCTGTGGGTGAGTCCTCCATCTATATGTACCACCGATGTTACCCAGTGCACTTGATTTTTCCTTTTTGTTTTTTGTTTTTTTTGCGTCTAATACAACTTGCATACATATCAAAAGCTACAGGCCATTTCCAAGAGGGAGCTGAGGATGCATGTGAGGAAAGTTCATACAGAAAGAGGAGGAGAGGTGGATGTAAAGGCCTCCGGCGATGCTTGAGAAGCTCTGACGTCCACCTTGTTGGTCTGCTGTGGAGGCTAAACAGGAAGAAGGATGGAGTGGACAGATGGACAGATGGCCGCCGTCCCCATCACCACCTTCCCTTTGAGTTTAAGTCTAGACATTAAATTCAAACTTCTGCAGCAACAGTGATGTTTGGATGCAGTGAAAGCGGCTGAGACCAGAAGGCCAGCGAGGCAGAAAGCAGTAAGCAGCCGTTTAGTGCTGAGGTGAACCCAGCGAGGCCTGAACACACCGTCTGATGCATCGTCTCTAGAAGCGTCTTTAATCACCTTGAGTAGCTCCTTCAGCCTAATTGGGGAAGAACATTCAGAAGAACTTCAGTCTTTTGATGTGTGGATGCTGTGAAAGTGTCTCAGACCAGAAGTCCTGGGAGAGAGGAGATGTGAGCAGCCGTTTAGTGCTGACGTGAGCTCAGTGTGATCAGCGATCAGAGGCCTGGATGTATTGTTGGAAGCTTTAATCACTGTGAGTGGCTCCTTCAGCTTGAAGCTACCACAGGTCCTCCCCTCATGCTCGTCTTCAGCTGCCACAAACAGCTCTGGAAATAAGTATTCAACCACTGTGGAGCAATGAGCCGCTGTGATTAGAACTTGTTGTCATGAAGGTTTCAGTCAGCTGTATCCCTCTAAACACAGAGGACTTCTCTTCTTTTAGGTGTTTAGTAACACATTCGTCGGATTTTCTGCTGACTTT